GGTCATGTAAATATGTGACCATGTTAACACGTGGTCATGTAAATATGTGACCATGTTAACACGTGGTCATGTAAATATGTTACCATGTTAACATGTGGTCATGTAAATATGTGATCATGTTAACATGAGGTCATGTAAACATGTGATCATGTTAACACATGGTCATGTAAACATGTGACCATGTTAACATCAGGTCATGTAAATATGTGATCATGTTAACACGTGGTCATGTAAATATGTTACCATGTTAACATGTGGTCATGTAAACATGTGAGCATGTTAACATGTGGTCATGTAAATATGTGATCATGTTAACACGTGGTCATGTAAACATGTGACCATGTTAAATCTTGATTGTGATGTTTGATACATTGCTATGAACACATGACTCTCTGACAGACGAGGTTGTCCTGAAGTTTGAAAGGGCAAAGGTCAGACTGAGGAACGTTGCCTACGACACACTTCCTGTCGTCATCCAYGGAAACGGACCCACAAAGGTAACAGACCAATCAGAAGCCTGCGTCTGTCTCATGTGACAGCAGAAACAGGAAATGTAGTTCTTCAGTAGTTTCTGGAGTCCAGTGATGKGTCAGAAAGTTTGACTTTGTGTTTTTATTTAACACTTATGAAAACAAAATACTGAAGAAAAGAATTTAAAAAGTGCTGAGGTTCTGATCCAGACTGGTCCATGGATCAGAGTGAAATCAGCTCACATGTGGTGATAATCCAGGTGATAATCTGTCCTCTGTCTCTGCAGCTGCAGCTGAACTACCTGGGGAACTACATCCCCACAGTGTGGACCTACGAGCACGGCTGTGGGATCTGTGACGATGACCTGCTCCTCTTCACCGACGTAGCTGTAAGTTCAAACTGACGTCTGCACACAGCTCAGGGTTCTACACACAGGGTTCTACACACAGCTCAGGGTTCTACACACAGGGTTCTACACACAGCTCAGGGTTCTACACACAGCTGAAGGTTCTACACACAGCTCAGGGTTCTACACACAGCTCAGGGTTCTACACACAGCTCAGGGTTCTACACACAGGGTTCTACACACAGCTCAGGGTTCTACACACAGCTCAGGGTTCTACACACAGGGTTCTACACACAGCTCAGGGTTCTACACACAGCTCAGGGTTCTACACACAGCTCAGGGTTCTACACACAGGGTTCTACACACAGCTCAGGGTTCTGCTCAGGTTCTGC